CATCTGAAATGCCCCCCTCCCCCAACCGGAAAGAAGCACTGGCTTGGAGTCGTTCTATTAATAGGTTTCTGCCTTTAAATGGCTAGGCCTGTTCGAAATTAGAGCCCTGGTGGATACATCTGCTGTTCCCCTGTGTTCACCTCCGTTGAAGTGAGATGAGAAATGGGATGGCTTGTTTTGTTCAATATCTGGACCTATCAGACAGCATTCTTCCCGTCTGACTTATACAACAGGAGCGGCATCTTCGGCAAACAATCTCATGGATCACATTTCGACCGATACAATATGTCAATTCCCTCTGATGGTAAAGGTCCTCTTAGGGAAGCCACTTGCGGATATGTGTAATGTCTCAAAGTTCGTTTTTCTTATCTTTAATGTTTTACAGATCTATACAATACCTTGGATGACAAAATTGCGCCTCGTTTTATTATTTAAAAGCCGCTTTGTTATATAGATATATAGCGCATATATAGCTTGACATTTATAAAAAAAACTTCGCGGCACTATGACAAGGTTTAATTTTATTTGACTTCTCACCAGCTACAGGATGTTGAGTATTATATCCTCTACAATGAAACAAACCAACAAATCAAGGGAAATAACTTACCGCCCCATTCATAACGTGGCACAGAATTCAGAGAGGTCAAACATTATGCATTACTCAGACCATGATTTACCTTCTGATGACGTATCACCATAGCGACAGAGCGACGCTTATTTCAGAAATGCAAATAAAAATACAAACGGCTAAATTCACCCCATACACTTCTCATAAAGGGATAATAAGGGGAGAGACTGCAATCAGGTTAGCAAATTAAAAATATGAGTAAAACAAAGTAAGGTCAAACTACTGCTCATATAAGCAGGTACTACATGGTAGATATAGATAAATCGATTGTTCCTAAACACTAATCTGAAAAAAGGACGCAATAAAAAAATTGGGGGGGGGGATAACTAAAATGAATGGCGAAAGATACTTACTATACAGTGGAGGATGCCTCTTTAAGACAGTGGTTCTCAAAGTTTAGTACATTTTTCTTGCACCAAATGTGCCTCTTCTTCTGCATCCAACTTTTTCCAGTTCCTGCTTGCTCCATTGACAGGCATTTGCAAATTTAAAATTGGGCCTACTCATTATAGCATTCTTCGTTTTCTCGCCAGTTAGAATGAAAAGGTATAACCAGGAACATGGTCTTTCACAGAGAGAGAGCTGATGTCATGATGTCCAGTGATGTTTGAATTAAAGTCCATGATCGGACTTCTTGCCAACCGACGCCAGTCCTTCCAGTCATCGTTTGTGGTACATGCTAAAGCAAGCAGTTTCTAGAATGTCTCTCCTCACTTTGGACAAGCTTACCAGATTTTATTGATACTAAGTACGGACACAACAACCAGTGATTATTTCAGAAATCTCCCCCCCCCCCCGAGGGGGGCACTTCAGATTTTTCGCGGGGGAGGGCAGTACCAGCAGTGCCCGTTGATTTATTTTTGGACATAGGTTTGCTCCGGGGGTGGGGGGGGGGGGGGGGCTTTGGCCTCCCCCCCCCCCCCCCCGCCCCGGAGATATAGCTGAAAGAAACCCTGACAATAACAGCCCGAGGCATAGTAACGAGGTGACGAAAGAAAAAGGTGTTGTTGTTTTTTTGTGTGTGGTGATTTTTAATAGACTTCTGCAGAGGCGTAGCGTGGTGGGGGAAGGGGGGCAGATGTCCCCGGGCGCCAGTTAGTTAGGGGCGCCAAAATGTGCTTTGATATTATTTTATTGATGAAAATAAGGGGATTGAGAGTTGAAAAAAAAAGAAAAAAGGGAAAATAAAAATTGATCTTGTCCCCGGGCGCGGATCTTGTCCCCGGGCGAAAAACACCCTCGCTACGCCACTGGGACTTCTGAGATTATTTTGTTAGAAACTATGGTGAATATTTTGCAGAACCATGAACAGCTTTAAACAAAAAATCCATTTGACAGGAAGCCTATCATAAAATTGGGGACATGTTGGATAAATGTTACACTGAACAATCACAGTGTTTACTTTAAGTTGTGATCTCTCATGCGACCAAACATTGTTTACCTGAGAGAACGTTGACTTCATGCGTGCACTTGTGCCGGGAAGGCTGAATGAAAACGTAAGCAGTAGTTGCACATTTACAAAAAGGTCAATCGTTTGCTTTGAAAAGTTGAAAATTTGCACCCACATTTTGATCTATAGCAATGTTTTGCGAGTTCCATTCTTCCAACTTAGCAGGTAAAAAAAATAAATCATATAAGTTAATTCATCAAGGAGATCGCTATTAACAATTTTCCATGGGAAAATTTCATTGACATTAGTGGCACTTCTTTCTACTTTGTCTCAGGAACGAATTCTTTCAAAGTCACCCAAGAAAATATTTCAAAATCTTCAAAGTGGACAGACCAAAGCTGCGCAGAGATGTTACACAAAAATTGCGTTTTTTCTATCTCTATTGCCTTTATTTCACCCGCTCCTTTCAAATAACTTAATTTACTGCGAATAATGAATGGGGGGGGGGGGGGAATGTTCTAACCTTTTCTGACATTTTAGCAGGAGACTCTTCAATTACTTCAGCTACTACTACAAATGTTTTTCAATCTTTTTGACAGTTACCTGAAACATAGCAGCGTGTTTGGGTAGGAAACATAACCAGATCTCTACAGTTGGTCTGTTTGAGCAGAACGCACCAGGGACCCAAATACCGCCCAACGTTTTAAAGACTCGACCAAGCATCACAAAAGCCAGAAGTCACCCTTCCCGCACAGGCCACGACATCAGCCATAGTTTCACGCGGCATGGGCGCCCGCAGAAAACTTTCTAGGGGGGGGGGGAAATTGATTAACTTTACAGGGGGTGGGGCAAAATTTTTTAGTTATGTTTTAATATAGTTTTAATTTACTGTAGACCCTTCCCGCACAGGCCACGACATCAGCCATAGTTTCACGCGGCATGGGCGCCCGCAGAAAACTTTCTAGGGGGGGGGGAAGTTGATTAACTTTACAGGGGGTGGGGCAAAATTTTTTAGTTATGTTTTAATATAGTTTTAATTTACTGTAGCGTATTTGTATGGTGAACGAACGGACAGGACATCAGATTAGTTAATTTCTCTTTATTTTCTCTTTACTTTAATACATTTTTTGTCTATTTTTGTCTAAATTTTTTTTATCCAATCAATCCAGGGGGGGGGGCAAGTGCCCCCCCTTGCCCCTACCTGCGGGCGTCCATGTCACGCGGTGCAGCGGGTTAACAAGAAATGTTCCGCACGATGGCGCTAAAACTATTCATTGCGCTGGCCTGTGCATTTGCGAAGAAATAAGATAAGACAAATGAGTGGTTGCTGCCAGAAGTACGAACAAGCCGGACGACGAGTGGAAATTACGGAAAAATATGGACGCAAATATTTGTACGGATAAAAGGAAAAGGAAGAGTGGGGGGGGGGGGCAAAATAAATACAACCGGTCCGTACTAATAAATACGGACGTCTGGTAACCTTAGTTTTGATCTAGTGCGGCGCGTTGGGGTTTGTTCATTGTTTATCTTGTAGGCAGGGGAGTAATTGGGGAGTTAGTGCCACCGGGGGCGGCCCAAGATTTTTGCCGCACCTTCCACGATTAAACCTCCTTAGCTGGCCAAAAAGCGCCGCCCCTCTATAGGAGGAAAAAAGTGGAACGCCCCCACCGTACCCCTCTTCCTACAACACTGCTAGTAGAATCTTAATAATAGTGCGGCGTTTTGCAACCTCTCCACCCACGCTTATCTCCCATCATCTAGGTCAGGCCTGCACAACTCCAAATGTAAGGTGGGCCTTAATACTTTATGCAAAACTTGTGCGGGCCGTAATATTCTATGAACAAATTGTGCGGGCCGGACAGGGGCGAAAGCTATTAAGAAAACAATAATAATAAAGAATATCTCGTTACTTCGTGGGCTGCTAAGTGGGCCGTTTGTTGTGCGGGCCTGATCCAGGTGTTATCAACTGTAAACAATTTGTTTGATTCATTAAAAAAACAACAAAAAAAAACAACAACATGCAAACTAACAGTATCTAATTTCGTTAGTTTTGAACGTGTTTCTGGCAATGGATGAAAAAGAGTCGGTCACATATTGCTTTTTAATTTGTCACTCTTTAATTAACAAAAAAAAAAAAAATCATTATGCGAGAGAGAGAGAGAGTGTTTGCGGGGGAGAGTTGGGTAGGGGATCATTTAAAAACGATCATTTTGGTTTACCGAAAAAAACAAAAAACTTTTGCAATTGGATTTTTCTAGCTATAAGCATTTCTGGCGTAAGCAGTATTGTGCCACATTTTAAAAACAGTATCATTTCTAATTAGTTTGCGGTAAAATTTTCGGGTTGGTTCATATTCAGTGACGTAAACTTCGGGCTCGATTCGGGTATCAGCAATTTTCGGTTCGGACGTCAGCAGGGTTCGGTTCAATTCGGACATCAGCTGGGTTCGACTTCGGTGTGTGTTAGGGTTCGATTTCCACCTCTAGTCTCTAGTTTAGACTTAGACCATAATCAAAAACTAAATAGACTAGAGGTTTTCAAAGAGTAAAATGCATTTACAAATTTTGAGATTGAAATTATACAATACTCATGATAATGATGCATACATTTCCAAATTTTCAAGTTAAAATACAAATAGATAAAAATAAATAAAATTGGTCCGATGCGTATTTTAGGTTTATTTCATAACCAAAGGATTATGGGACATAGTTTTGCACAAACATTGCGAAATGAATGCCACTTAGGCGTTCGTTAAAAATAGTTCGTCTGGTTGAGTAAATAAATAAATAAAATAACTTTCTATTTGTAGAAAAAGCCATTTCAAATATATGACAAGTGATTTTTAAAAAGAAAAGCTGAACATAATTTCTTTAAAATTAGAAGTTGCACAATTTTAATGTATAACCACTACTCCTAAACTGCAGAGGGTTTGATTTCTCATGAGTGAAACAAAAACTTAAAGCTGGCTAGTTGTCAATATTTTTCTTTTGTTTTACTGGAGTACAGAAAAAAAAATGTCTCGAAATGCGAACGACAGCAATAACTACAGCCAGAGTTATAAGCTGGTGGTTGTAGGAGGAGGTGGTGTTGGGAAAAGTGCCTTAACTATTCAATTTATCCAGGTATTTAAAGTTTTTCATTACAATTAAAATTAACCAAAACAAGGCCTATACCAAAACAACCTAATGTCGATAATAGGCGTTTTTTTCTCACTTTGTTAGGCCTAAGCTAAATAGGCATTCTGTAATTTTGATTACAACTATACTATATGATTTAAGGTAATCTACCATTTCAGTTTCAGCGTCAGTTATGAACAAAAAAATCGCGTTTTTCTAGTTTGAAGTGCTATTTAAATGTTTATTCTATTGATGTCCCTCTGTGGCTTTGAAAGAGACATTACGGCATTTACGGCACGGTATAGGCAGCATAGGATTGCATAGAGATCTATATACACTTTCAGGCTCACTTATTGTATCTGACGGATGTGTGGCTAAACGGATGTGTGGCTAAGCAAACATAAACCAGATCAGACACAGAATCTCTTGAACACTCCATTGGGTTAACGGTTTTTGTCAACAGTTGCCTCACCCTGAGGGCAGTGATGTCACTTTGGAGAATCCCAACACTAGACCTTATCAAACTTTATGTGAATAGACCTAATAATTTTAGGGTCCAAACAATATGTGTGATAACATTCCTGTTCTTTATTGAGCATTACGTCATAAACAATGTTGTTAATATGCAGTATATTAAAGATGAAATTTTAATTTGTATTAAAATTCAACTTATACACGTTTCAAAAGAAAGGAAAAAGGAAACACATCCTTGCTGATACCCCAAGACCCAACACCAGTGAAAAAAAGACGCGCATCAAAGTGCTGTATTTTGATTAGTTTAAAATCAAAATACCATATGTTAAAACTTTGGTAACTTAAGGGAGACTGCTGCTTAAATTGCATTTGAAATAACTGAAAATACCGAAACAATAATAAAAAAAATCCTCTTCTCCCGTCCCCAGAGAATCAAAGAACCCTCCCCAATTCTAAAAAATATAGAATAAGAATAACTTGCATTATGTGAATTCAAACATTGAAATATTTTTAGTCCAGCGCTGTAGACGGAAGTGGACCTGGGGGAACCTATATACCATGGAACATATCATTGGCCTTGCCGCTAACCCTAAATCAACCAAATTTTTTCATTCCAAATGTCACTCCACTAATGCCCAGTTATATACTGTTATCAGTATGGAGAAAATAATCGATTGTTTAAGTATATGGCTCGTTCTAAAACAGTATACAACAAAAGACGATACCATAAGTTAAATACAATGACAAAGAATATGATACTCAAACCAGGGCTAATTACAATTGATACATTTTATTATGTTAATTATAAATTAAAAAATAAAAATAAATATAATTAAAGCTATTGACTTACATTATAATGATTGGCTTCTACCGGAACAATATTGAAGAGGATACAATGTTGTAAAAAGGTACAATGATGAAAAGGAATCTACACAAGCACAGTAAACAAATCTCTGTCTCGTAGCAAAGCTCTAAAGCAAAAATAGCACACACTCAAAATATCTCTACTCTGAACCTCCACTCAATCTCTCAAGGTGTTTATGTAGCCTGTTTCATAGATACTTCTTGAACGGACTTAAGCATTGTATTCTTTTCTCGATATTTCTACAGAATTCTAATAATAATACAGACCATAGATTTAGTTAGTTTTAACCAAGTTCAAGAGAGACTGTATTTAGTTAGCCACACCCTAATAGTGCTGCCAAACTTAGTGTCAGATTAAGTTCATTCACCAGGAAAGATGAAACAAATTAAACAAGACTCCTATAACATCCACACGCAGACTCAGACTGTTGAAAATATGTGGCTGCACGTAAAGTGAAAACTGAAAAAGTTTGGCACAAGGCAGAAGCTTTCGTGGAGATGATATAAACTCAAACTGTGTTTTCATTTCATACTATCATACATTATATTTCTATTGTAATTTAAATTCCAAAAAAAAATTTCTATTTTAAAAATGTTGCCTTTACTTTTATATATGAGAGTTTTTAAATAGAACTTTAAACCAGAACAAAATGATTTTTTTCACAACCAACGCTCAAGTGGTAGATTACCTGATTTGTTTCCTTGTAATATTTTTCAGTATTCAAGCAGTATTATAAATTTGTTGAAATTGTAAAATAAGCCAATTAGTGTTAGAGAAAGCAGTTTATGAAAAATGTAACTTGTCTTTGTTAAACTTTGTATCTACTAACCCGGTCCAATTTCAATTGGTCACTTCTATTTGCTGCTCCAATTGTCTTCCAATCCACAAAATTTAATTATGGCAAAAACTAATACAATTTTTAAAAATTCATTTAAAAAAAAGACTGGGCTGTTGGTAAGTTTACGCAATCTGCTTCACATATTCCCTGTGTTTTTGCACTACTTTTTTCCCCACTGCCACCATCTTTGTGGCCATGCAGCAGACATGTCATGACAACAAAGGTGGCAGCTGTGTAAAGAAAAGTAGTGCAAAAAAAAAAGTCTGCATAAATGGGGAGGGGAAATGTGTTGTTTTAACTAATTAACTACCTAACCGAGAATTAACCGAGAAAAAAAAAATCAGATTAGAAAGAAACGTTAAAATTTAATGATATAATTATTTTTGATAAAAATCTACACTCTCAAAATCTACAACTCTACCTAACCTGAATTCTAAGTCAGTACCCCCAAATCAAGCATAAAGTCCCCCTTTACTTCAGCAAAAATTTATCCTTAAATTTTGCCCCCCCACCCCAAACTAGAGCATAAATCTTCAAGGCTATAAAATCTATGACCTAACACCTAACATGTGTTAGTGTGCTATAGTTACAAACTGTACTGTACTTAGAAAATCATAAATTTGAAGAATAAAAAGATGAAGACAATATTTTAAATATTCATATAATGAAAACTCAGATTACAGTTTAATCAAATACACTTTTACACACTTTATTGACGGTTCCACCAAAAATCAAAAGATGTCTGAAAAATCAAATTTCATTTTCCAAATGCCGACAAAATTACCTCTCTTTTGAAATATTTTAATTAACCACCCAATGAAATTTTAAAAGGCAATCAATCAAAAACATTCCATCCGGATGCTAATATTAAAAAAAGAAAAGCTAACTCTCCATGAATAAACAGAGGTTAGAGGATCCTACACAGAAGCTCAAAGTGGCGCAGATTGCGTAAATTTACTAGGTGGTTTTTAGAGGGTAGGACTAAATTTGGTAAATAAGCAAAAAACATTCAAATTTAAGGATTATTTTTCTGCAAAAACCTGGTAAACCTAAAATCTATCACTCTATTAAACTGAAAGCTAGCAAGAAAATCAGTCCTCCTAACACAAATGTAAATCTTCAAACATAAAATCAGTCTCCCTAACTTGAACATTAATCTTCAAACATATATCTATCTCTAGACCTAACCTGAATCCTAAAACCTTGTGTTTGTGTGCTACAGTCACACACTAATGAGAAAATCGTAATTTTGAATAAAAAACTTAAAAAAATAATGCTCTAAATAATGAAAACCCAACTTACAGTTTCATTGAATACACTTTTACACACTTGATTACAGGTTTCACCATAAATAAAATCCAAAGCTTATCAATAAAGTCAAAATCAATTCAACTAATGATCAGGATGGAAAAAATGGTTACTTTGTTTTCAAATACCAGTATTAATTAACCTCGCTTTGATACATTTGTTTAAAAAAAAACATTCCATCGACATACTCATTTTTAAAAAAAAGAATAGTTAACTGTAATAACAATCAGCACCTAAACAAAGGGGAATTCACTCATCCACAAACTCCAGAAATTCAGTTCAGTTGGTGCCTAAAGGGGGTAAAGTGGGATCTGCTTTGACAATAGATGAACAAAGAGAACTTCTTTGACTTAAACATTAGGTTAATTCAGAACTTCTAACACATACGTTTTTGATTTCTAATTCTTCAATGTTTCTTGTTTTATTTTGTCTGCTGAAAAAGGGATCTAGTCAAAACAAAATATATCTTGAATTGTCCTGTCTTTTCATTTCAAGCCTAAACATATCTTGTTTTAATATTTCCTTGAAGGCAGTCCCCCATATATTACATTTATTATTTAGAGTTTATTGCAAAGTTGATATGTCACTATAAATTATATTTGGTATGACAGATATAAAAAAAAAATGTCCTTACCAAATTAATATTTATATTATTGACATCCACAGTCATATTTTGTAACAGACTATGATCCTACAATAGAAGACTCTTATACAAAGCAGTGTGTCATAGATGAACACGTGGCCAGACTAGATAGTAAGCTGTGATTGACATAGAAATCTCCATCGTTTTGAAATTAGTTTATTACTATGCTTTTTCTGCTTTTAAGATTTTTGATTGCCTGTTATGTATGTTTCTTTTTATTTTTGGTGAGCTGTTTTGATACATTCCTGATATAAATACGTAAAACTATACATGTTTTAAAATATTTTTTAAGATCTTAAAAGAAAATACAAATGAAATTGAATATTTTTTAAAAAAAAGGCTTAAAATTTCTTTTTCCAGTTCTGGACACAGCTGGCCAAGAAGAATTTAGTGCAATGCGAGAGCAGTATATGCGCTCTGGAGAAGGTTTCCTATTAGTATATTCTGTTATTGATAGGAGCAGGTATGACAATTTTTATTTCATTCATTTTAAATTTTTTTGCAGAACATTGCAAGATAAAAATGTTAAACAATTTAAAATGCTGAAGCAGCAAATCAAGACTACTGCTTGTTCATTGTCTCTCTAAATTCCTGCCATTGATTATATACCTTTTAAAAAATTAGTCAATAATTTTTTTTGAATTTTTTAATTTAAATTTTGAATATTTGTCATATCTAGCAGAAAACAATCTTTGGCATTATCAAAAATAAGAGGTAACAATCTTAGCAATTGGAAATCAATGTTCATTAAAATTTTTCAAATGCACTTTGATGGTCACATTAACAAATATGTATTTACAAAGTTTACAAAGTATAATTATGATGAGATACATTTGAGTAATTTTAGTAATATTCACATTTTTTTTTTTGGAGATAGAAATTATTTAAAATTGTAAAATACATATTCTCTATCCCTGTTTTTATTTTCTAAATTTGAAAGTTACCTTTAATGCTCATTTGTATCCTTTTCAATCAAACAGTTTTGAAGAAATCTTCAAATTCCATAGACAAATTTTAAGGGTCAAAGACAGAGATGAATTTCCTATGTTATTGGTAGCTAATAAATCTGATTTAGATTCACAGCGAGTGGTAAGTAGCAGAGTTTAACTGCCTCAAACATTTCAATTTTGTGATATAAAGTAAAAAGTAAATAATTTTTTACATTGCTGGCTCTCTTAATTTTTAAATGAATGAAATAGCAAAACGAGGTATGTGGAAGCTTGAATAAGATAACAGGACAAAAAACAATAAGTTTCGGCATAAAGCCTTCCTCAGCCAACAGTAGAAATGAAAATATAACAAAAAAACAGAGCACAGTAGACAACTCAAGAAGTTTTAATTTTTAACTGTGTCAAAAATATTTTTGTGGATTATCTTCCGTGAGGTTGAGAACTATTAGCTATACAGATTTAGTACTTTATAGAAATCATATTTAACACTATTTATTACATTATATTTGTGCAAACTATTTATCATGTTATATCATTTGGAAAAATGGTCAGTTCAACACATATGTGTCCTAGGCAAGGAAGTACTTTTGTTTATGTAGTATAAGATTTGATTATTTAGTCATTGGGTGTTAATGTTGTTGCCACTGTGGTTGTTTTATTGCAGGTATCCACAGCTGAAGGCCAAGAACTAGCAAATAACTTAAAGATACGTTACATGGAAGCCAGTGCCAAACATAGGCTTAATGTTGATCAATCATTTTATGAACTTGTTAGAATTGTAAGGTAGGAGGAATATTTGCTTGTGATGACAGTATAACTGGCAACTATAGCATTTTTATAACAAATTTCAAATATATTTTATTTTCGAGGAATGTATACATAGAGTGAGGACTATGTTATCTCAGTATGTGGTAAATTTTTCAATTACGCAACATTTACAAAAAAATTTTAAACAAGCACAGCTTCACAGTCAATAAGAATTTAAAACTAATTTTTTTATAATTTTATTGTATTTCAACAAATTAATTCTAGTAACTTTTAAAATACATTTCCAGTAGTTATATTTTAACAGTTTTTGGTTTTTTTTGTTGCTTTTTTACAGGACATTTCAAGAGGAAGAAAGGCCGGCAGTTAAACCCAACAACCGCAAACGCAAGAAATGTACAATTCTGTGATAGCTTTATTACCTTGGTAAACAGCTTCTTCATCCTTCTACTATTCTTTTATTCACATGCTTTCCAACACGCGAGTCAAGTAACATACTACCCGGCCTTTTCAGAGTCAAGAATGTAAGGGTGCTGGAGACTGTATTTGTTTGTGATCATACTCAACTACAACTAATTAAGCGCAGGTTTGTCGTTTCAGTGCTAGAAACTCTTTTTTTCTAAAAGCATTTCTTGAATCAATAAGTACTGCAGCCAGTTCCTTGTCAGTGCAAAGAATAAAAGATCGTTTAGTTGAAGAAAAAAATTATTCCCTGTATTTGAATCAAATCAGACCACAAAAAGATGCACCACAATAGTATTTCCTAAACCACAAATCAATGATTGACATTTGTTATTTAAAATATCATGCCTTTGGAATAGAACACTTCGAGTGTTTTGCGGGATATTTTATGGTGTATTTTCTGTGGGTTTTGTCGAAAAGGATCTTAAGTTCTCACATGTAAATTTATTCACTCTACTGAAGTGCCGTAATTATTAAAATGCTTTGATAAGTACCTCTTTTCTTCAGTATCAACTCCTATTAAAAATAAATAATTTAATGATTCTTATTAAAAAATTTTTTTCTTAATACATTATGTATTTGATATTATAATTTTCATTCCCTAAGTGGATGTCTAAAACAATGAAACCACTAGACCTTATAGTGGAGTGTTTCTGCTGTCTGGTGGACTTAGTTACTATACTACACAAAACTATGGTATCGAGCATCCCCCCCAATACTTGTTTAAATAAAGCATGTTTGGAGTTCAGTGCACTTCAAGCTCTGTGCTTTTGTCTATTTCTGCAGGAACTTTGTGGTCTATGTGTTCACTAATTCAAATTGTACTACTACTATATATAAATATATATAATATATTTATACACATATAAATACACACACATGTATATTTATATATTTATGCATCAGTGAGATCAAAATGAACTGGTTTGACCTTTCTTCTATTGCCTTGCTTGTGACAAGTATTATTTAAAAAAAAATATTTATGCTTAAATGAATGATAACACTGTGAAGAGTCTTTTAATTGTGCCTGGAACATTAAGACAGGTGTTGAAACCTAGTTTTGAGCCCATCGGCCAGTTCAGCGTGAAATAAAGACTTTCCCCAGAGACTCTAGTACACATTCTAATTCAACACATTGTCAGATTTTTTAGTAGAAATAAAAAGCACGCACTAATAATCATAGCCCCATTCTACTTCCTTGTTTAGAATGAAAGAAATTTTTTTTTGTTTGGTCCTTATCTATGTAGTAATTAAAGAAGTGTGTAGTGGTAGTAAACAGTTATTTAAAACTACCTGCACAATTTTTGCACTAAATAAAACAGCTTAGCTGAGTCTTTGGAGTTGAAAGCTTGCCGAATTTCCCAGTTGAAACTATAATTTTAAGATAGCATTTACTCTCTCCATGACATGACTTTGTTTGAACAGTTCTTAAGTGCCAATCGTTAGCTTGCAAAGGATAGTCTAATTAGATATTTTTCTGTCAATCCTTCTAAACTGCTAAGCTTATATTTTTGTGAAAGTGCACACTTAAAAATATTAACAGATTTTTAAAGAAGGTTTGCTACAGAATATGTTTCAATTTAAAGGCAAAATGTACAATTTACAGTGTCATTTCACCTTGTCATAATATACAATTGCAACAAAAAAAATGTATGTATTTTGTTTTTGTGTAAAATAATAACAAACCAATGAAATTATTGTTTTTATTGACTTACCTGTACATACTTTTGGTGTTCTTTTCTATTTGAAATGTAATCATTTTTATGAACCTTTTTGTATTTATAACTATTTATTGGTCTTTAGAAAGATTTTTTTAAAATTTAAGTAAGTTCATCTACATACATTTGGTGAATTAGATCTAAATTTGTATAAATTGAGTGAAACATTCTTAAATGTGCGTGTGTGTGTGCTTACTTTTGCCAACATTTTTAAACCTAAATTATATCTGAAACATATCGTGCAATTTTTAAAAACTAAACCCAATTTAAATAATATAATTTTTAAATTGGCTTAAAGAGAGAGGTACTTGAAATCATGTAGGAAAGCCTTTCAAAATGAACATTGCTCTATTCGTTCATTTATAAATAGTCTATTGTTTAATGACATATTAAAAAGCACTACTCTTGATTTTTAGATTTAGTTCCCCACGTGAACCTTTCATTTGCTATGAAATTTTGGATCACTAAAACGACAGGCGTTTGCTGGAATGCCTCCATTCAATTTTTTGAAACCTTTCATTTTGCCAGGATAAACTGCGTTTGATTCATATTTATGAGCATTATTTAAATTTTTCTTCAAACTTAAAACAAATAGCTTAAGCAGTATTAATTAAACAGATGATCTGTATCAATACTAGTTATTGGATGATCAGCAGCTGCTACCAAATGTTTGGTTTTTACTGTTCAGAGAATGACTTATGATTTGAACTAGGAAAAATGTTTGTTTTTTTGGGGAGCGAGGAGTAATTGAGCAATCAGAACTTTTATTGTCCCTTGCTCCAAGGTGACATTGTCATCAAACAAATATGTTGTTAGGTATTACATTTTCTCTAATATTTGTATATCCTAACTTTTAAAGCCAGATTTTGAGAAATGACATGAGCTTTTTCAGTTTACTTTTACTGTGGAAAGTCATTGTTGCTAGATGTGATAAGACTTTGATGCCAAACTGACAATGTCCAAGCTTTAGTAAGCCATTATAATGTGAATTAACCATGTTTTTTCCATTTATTCTTCTCTTAAATAATCTGTTCTGTGTTTTCCTGAGTTCTAGTCATATTGTATTGAACATACTTTTGTTGATGTGAAATGTTCTCTGTACTTGTTACAACAAAATTGTTTGTAAGGTATTCAAACAATGGTGCAACTGATTTTTATAGAAATTATAACTTGTACACATGTACATGTCAAGGCAATTTTGCATGCTTATTAAAGCTCACTATGGTTTCTTTAATCATTATTGTCCAGCTTGAGCCCTTTAAAAAGCATACGTTCATCAAATACCAGCTGTGCCCTTAGGGGACAGGATACTTATACAAGCATTAGTTGTCACCAGACCTCCAAACCTGTACTGACTGCTGTTGTATACATCTGCAGTTTTTGTCATCATTCTATTTATATCTCTGGTGTGAAAGCTGTGTAATTGAGATTTATTTATACCCCTGTGATCCACAACGCCTGTGGATTAGCCAATCCTGACAGATTGTTTTGGTCACTTGTAACACCCCTGAGGCAACTTTCCAAATGAGGCTGTTAACATAAATGCTTCAACTTGTACATTGCAACATTTTTAGCTCCCTTAACAGTATATGTCAAATTTACTATCCATTAGTTGGGGTCAGTATTTAAGCCTTTCAATGTGATGATTTTTGTTCAACCGTGGTGTGAGTGCTCTGCATGGCAGGCCTTTTGCGCAGCGACATAGCTAACATGAGTGAGAAAAATTCTTTGTTCAACTAAAAAGTTTTTCCCCCAAAAACTAGCTTCAACTTCAATGGACCTCAGATGAAAAATGCTGCAATTGGTAAAAAGTTTACTAAGATATTAATGTTGAATAATTATTCAAAAAATGTCACAATGTCTAATTTGATGGACCTAGATTGAGGCACACTCACCCAATATCAGTAGTGTTCCTGTATAAGTGATTTGAACTCTTGTTCCATTGGGGAAATTTTTACAAGTTGTATTTCTCTTTAAACAATTCATTTTCCAGATTTGGCTGTCAACCGCATTTTTAATTGTCATTAAGATTTATTACATTTCTAAATGAATAAACTCAATGTATGGTAGGCATAGATTAAAATTTAAAAATAATTTTTATTTTTCTGTGGCCAAAAAGTGTGGCATTAAGTATTTAATATTGACCAGAAAAATAGATTTTTATAAAGATATTGCTGTAGATATTTCTTAGTTCTTCTGATATGTAAATATAGCTATGCGCATTATCTTTTACATGGTAACCAATCAAAATCTGATGACTTTTGAAAAACTTTTGTTAATGTTTCATTCTTAAAAACAAGTTTTGAGCTGTTCAAGGTCGTTATGAAGACACCTGACTGAGATGAATGGTCATTTGATACATATTTATTTGTTTGACTTGTGTTTTGGGTGGGATGATGGTCATGATGTATTAGATAATCAAAATTTCAGGCTGGGCAATCGGTTTTTATATCAATTATTAACTTTAAGATGTTCTTCATGATATTTTAAAATTGTCTTTATTTTTATTTTTTTTATTTTTCTCTTGTCAAGTAAAATAAAGGTATAATTAATTTTAGGTTAGATTAAAATCACACACAACCACAATACATCTTAACCTATTTTATTAAATCTCTATATACTTCATAATATATNAAGGAAAAGAATATTTAGTATCACATATGATTGTTAATTTTTAATAATCTTCACACAAAAATGAAAATGCCTATATTTTTGACTACATTTATTCTGAAGTCCATTTTATTATGTTTTATTTCATATTTCTGTTTTATTTTCATTGCTTTGTAATGTATTTTTTTTTTTTTTTTAATCTTAGGCCATATTATTTGTGATCTAATATATGAGAACTTTTCACAGCTATATTTGGTCTTTCTAAAAACAATATTTAGGGTTAGTTCGAGCCTTTGATGTGTTGAGTGAGTGTTGTTACCATGTTTCAGTTCATTATTTTGCCATTTACATCTCACGATTACTCAAGATTATCTCTAATGTTAGTTTTCTTGCTTCTATTGTCAATCTATTGGAATGTAGTCAGTTCAGTTCTGCCCATCTGAACATCTCTTTCTTTGCAGTTTTAGTTTGCTTGCTGTCAACACTGACCCACTGCTCACATAACTGTATCAGCAGGACTAGTTGACTTTGTTCGAGTCATTTAGTCTCAGCAGAAATTGACTTTGTTCAAGTCATTTAAATCTAGGTCTCACCAAAAAGATCGTTGACTCAGGTACACCACATGTGACATGCACTTAATTAACCAACTCCAAATTTAGTGATGTAATACCTGAAAAGAATTAAGCGTTTCCTATTGTGACTGCTGCACAGTAATGATCTGAAAACGGCAACATTATTTATATCATACACCAGACATAGTTATTTTTGAGGTCCATATAATACAGTTAATTGAGCTATTCACTTTGGCATTTTCAAAATCAAATTTGTACAAACACAAGGGAAATGAAAGTGGATTAAGAGAAAATGAAATAATATGATTGCATTTTTTGCTGTTATTTTCCTCTTGGCTGCATGTCCAATTTGTCTTGTTTCAGCATAGAATATAGAACATATAATTTATGCTTATATTTAAAAACTTCCCAAATGTGTGTACATTATGTGTATAAAACCTTCTGTGCATTCCTCACTTCATATTTTAATCAACCCAGCAAATTGTATTCAGTCAATTTACAAGAACTTTTTAACACCACCACTCCTCAAGCTTTTCAACTCACAAAGTAAATTGTGGACAGTGGGGGACACCACCCCCCCCCAACCCCCCAATAAAATATGTGTACAAAGATGACGG